TTATTTCACTATTGCTACTTTTGGACCAGTTGTTTTTACTATTATAATGACTTTGAGACAGGCTGTTGCTATAATTTTATCATGCATAGTCTACGGGCATAACATAACAGCTATTGGAATATTTGGTGTACTTCTAGTGTTCTTTGCGATATTTCTCAGAGTTTATTGTAATCAGAGGTTGAAATCTATTAATCAGAAGAGACTGAATTTGGAGAATAAACCATAAGTTGTAATATAGTTTTTTAATTAATTTAGTATGTAAATCAGTTAAAAACTAAACACATATATATGTATATTTGTATGAGGCTAGTAAAATAAGTAATCTGATATCTTGCTGAGTATGCATGTTGTTGAAATATTATATCATTATAAATATAGATTTGTTTAATATAATCACAGAACAGAATTTGCTTAATCATCCATAAGAGAGTTCAGTTATCAAACTGAAACCTAAAATATATTTATCTATAATGAAATATATTTATAAACCTTTGAAAAACTAGGACGGAAAGATTATTTTATGAACATCATCAGTTGATATGAAGAATTTGAAAAAACCTGAAATTATTATTGTATAATAATAAAAATAAATGTTTATAAGTACAAACACTAGTAATTGTACAGAATAAAGTTGTAATAGGTTTAAAATTTGAAAACACATACAATTTGGTGCATCTAAAGCAAACTCATCTAAATTTTTATTAATTTTACAATTAATTTGTAATACATATGTGATATAATGTATAACACATTTCTTGTTTAAAAAATGTGTTGATATACATATTAATAATATTTGAATTCATTATTGTATAAATTTAGAAACAAAACTAAAATCAAAAGTCTTGTCTTACTATCTTATCTTTGTCGAAAGTCTTATATGATCTTACCTAAAGAATGTAGAAATTGGTGAATAATAATAATAATAAATTGTAGTCTGCCCGAAGGTGTGAGAGCCACCACAAATAAATGATTTTCTTACCCTTTGTTATAAAGTTTTTATCAGTTATAAAGAAGCGTAAATTGGAAATGCACTTTCAAGTTTTTATCAATTTCTATATAAAGTTAAGTTAATTTCATTTCATTTCAAATAGCAGAAGATGCAATTTCTTAATTTTACTTTATCATTCTGAAATTGTATATTCTTCATTAGTTTTTATATCAACTTACACTAACTCCTTGTACCTATAAATCATTTATAAATTAACATTGTAATGTTTTGATAAATTTTAGTTAAACGTGTTCGAAATTTGAATATCGCGGTTCATTTTAAAGTGCCGCCATTTCGTGTACAGGTACAGTCAGTGCAAGAATTTAATTCTTACTCTTCTTTCATTTACTTATCTTTTATCTATGAGTTCAACTATATATTTAAAAATATTAAGTAATATATATTAGAGCAGTATTTGGAATATATTTTTTATTTCTATTTATATATTACATTGTTATAATGTTTTTACATAAATACTTCTAAAATGGAATTCATAATTCGCGCCTTCATGTAGTTCCCGCGCGTGGCTCATGGTGTCGCTGCCTACCTCACAATAATCGTACATTTGGCGGGCAACGCGTCGCTTTCACAATCAGTTACAAAGCGCGGCTTATACACGTCTCAAAAGACTTAAAAATATCCTGAATATTTAAATTAAATTCTGTAAAATCAGTTTCTTTCTTAATATCGAACAATGGCTGGTGGTAAGCTGGAAAAGATTCAGGAAAAGCTAAAGCGAAAGCGGTTTCTCGTTCAGCACGAGCGGGGCTCCAATTTCCAGTCGGAAGAATCATCGGCATTTGAAGAACAGAACAACAAGTCATGGACGTGTGGGGGCCACGGCTGCTGTTTACTCGGCGGCTATTTTGGAATATTTGACTGCTGAAGTTTGGGAATTGGCGGGAAACGCTTCTAAGGATTTGAAGGTAAATAATAACAAATATAGTAATAAATCAAGTGTAAACTGGGTTAGAAACGGTTACGAGCTTGTAAACAATACTTGTTAGTGCTTGTGATATGTTAGAAATCGATATTGTGATTCATAACCTCATATCTAAGTTTGGGGGGCACTCCTTGTGTGTTTACACACTCAATTTTGATGAATTCACTTGTAAAATCATCCTGTGGCGTCCATTTTAGTATAAACAATGCTTTTGAGTGCTCAAAACATAAAATATTTCATTATTCGGCTTTATAACCTAGTTTACACATTTGAGGTGCTCCTTCGGCCATTGTAGTGTCTTTTAGATGCCCACAAGCATTTTTAGCATTAATTTAGTATATACTTACTATTTCAAATATAAATCATTGTCCATAATGTTGTTTATGTTTACCACAACCTCTTATTCATGCTTGGGGGCACTTTAAGTTTATTTTCACATTTACAAACTTATATACTTCTTAATGTTTACAAGGTCCATTGAAGATGCCAACAAGCATTTTTAGCATAAATTTAGTATATGCTTGTTATTTTAAGTATAAAAATGGTTGTTGCTATTATTTGTTTATCACAACCTCAAATTCATGTTTGGGGGCCACGAAGTTTATTTTCACATTTACAAGCTCATTTTATACTAATTTCTTTTTACAACAAGCATTTTTAGCATAAATTAAGTGCATTCTTACTATTTCAAATATAAATCATGTCCATGTTATTTATGTTTACCACAACCTCTTATTCATGTTTGGGGGCACTCTAAGTATATTTATACATTTACAAACTTATATACTTCCTTATTTTTGTTTACAAGGTCACTGAAAGTGCCAACAAGCATTTTTAGCATAAATTTAGTATATGCTTGTATATTTAAGTATAAAACATGATCGTTGCTATTATTTGTTTACCACAACCTCAAATTCATGTTTTGAGGCACACGAAGTTTTTTTACACATTTACAAGCTCATGTGTATACTAATTTCTTTTTACACAAGCATTTTTAGCATAAATTAAGCGCATACTTTCTATTTCAAATATAATCACGTTCATTATGTTATTTATGTTTACTACAATCTCGTA